TCTCTCTCTCTCTCTCTCTCTCTCTCTCTCTCTCTCTCTCTCTCTCTCTCTCTCTCTCTCTCTCTCTCTCTCTCTCTACTCTCTCTCTCTCTCTCTCTCTCTCTCTCTCTCTCTCTCTCTCTCTCTCTCTCTCTCTCTCTCTCTCTTTTATATATGTAGATGAATATACATATATATATACACATTTAGAAATATAAACAAACAAAAACATCGCGCCTCGTGGGTTTTTTTTCGGAGCTGTAGCGACCCAAGTCGGCATATGAGCGTATAGGACTGCTGCTCCCTCACAGCCTGCTGCAACATCGCTGAGATCTCTACCGAGGTCGCTCTTTGTGGAGGTCGAAGACTACCAGCTGGGCTGCTCGAATGTGAGATGTAGGTCAATCTCTGCTGGTTGCCTCCCTTGTACCACCAGGCGGCTACCCGCTGCGCCTCTGGCAAGAAGGTTGGGTTGAGTATCATGGGTCCTGCTTCCGCCATGGAGCCGCTTCGACAGCTCATCCACTCCTTGACCTGAACTCCTTTGAGGGCTACCACGGGGCTGCCGGCAAACTCGCGACTATCTAATCTGGCTCTGTCGCCCCACAAGGTAATCAGCACGCTGTGGCCGCTGTCGTCTGCCACGGTGATCTCTCGCTTCACTAAAGCTTTTCCTTCTTTGGTCTGAAACTCTTGAGGGTGCTCCGCTGAAACGATGACTCCGCAGATATCCACGCTGCTAGGCACAGCCATCTGTGTCACTGAAGCAATCTTCTGCACGGCGAGACGCACTGCTCCGATGTCAGTGTCGTCGTCTACCATGTGTGTCTGACATCTGCCGTCGAACACCAGCTCGTAGCCATGCTTGAGCACGCTGTACTTCTTCTGGGCAGGGCGCACGCTGCCGTTGCACAGCGTGAAGCATCTTCCGCACTGCATGAGATCATAGTGCTGCTCCGCAGCTTCGTTGAACAAGCTTGCACGAATCTCGCCTCCTTCTCTATCCAGCAGCTCCACTGAGAACACCATTCCCTGCAGGCCGACCAAATCCACCAAACTCAACCAGTCACTGCAAACCTAACATATGCGAAGACTCAACAACTCCCACGAGCCTGTCCAGCACCATTCTTGTTTTGGAACTGACGCAGCTGTGACCGGCTGGTCACTCTGCACTTGATGGTCCACTTCGGACCCACCCAGGTACTTAGCTCTCTGACTGGAAAAAAAGCGCAATGTTCGCTCATGCTGCAGTTTGCTTCGAGCAAAACAACTAACTAACTAAAGCCAAAACACCTGCGAGCCGCGGCCAAACACAACGTGTGAAAGACAACACCGCCCAAGCACAGCACACGGACCGTCAACTCTCATTCTTTTCATGGCTCGGTGCTCGATTTGCACTTCTGCTGCGCGGGACCGATTCTCCGCTAGCTATTCCGCGTGGCCCAACCTTCGGCTGAGCTACTGACCTAGCCTTCGGCTTGGCAATCCGAGGAAGCAATCCGAGCAAACCGCTCGCGCCCAAACGCTGCCGGTGCGTTTGTCTCCCAGGCGCCAGCCTCGGGAGACCATGTCTTGCTGATGGACCAAGTCGTCGTCGCCCATAATGCAATTTTTTCCATTTCGCGGCATTGCTGGCAGACGACCGCGTACCGGTAGTAGCGAGGATCGTCCTTGGTCGCTACAGGTTCACATGGCCACTGCTCGTCTCGCACAACCAAAAACAAAACATCCCTCGTCAACTCTATGACAGCCGAGCCGCGGTGTAATAAAATGCTGTCGTCTCTGTCAGATCCCGAGAAGTCATGTTGATCATCATATAATCTTTAGTCGTCACATTTACGAAATCCGACGACTCGCCTACCGGCGGATCATGTTGGGCGCAGCTTCTTTCATCCGCTCGTCTGGCCGAAGTTGGCTTGGGCGGCGGCGACTTCATGACGGCGCCTGGTGGGATCTGCCGCAGCACACATGGCGGCGGCGCCTTGGTTGGCAGATGTGTCGGCTGCACGCAGGGGGCTTTCGCCTTTGTCTCGAAGGCTGGCGGCTGGGGCTCAGCAGGTGTTTGCGTGAAAAACAACGAAGTTGGATGCTGCTGAGCCGGCGCAGCCGGCGCACAAGGAGAGGCCGCGGGAGTTGGGAAGCTTGGCGGAGCCGAAGGAAACACCGGAGGCGAAGAAAACAGATCACGCGGGCGAGCCTGCCGCGGCTCCGGCGCATGCCAAGGATCATAAGCATAGCCATACCCATTTGTCGGCTGCCAGGCAGGCTGGTGCTGTCGTAGACGCTCAGCCAGGTATGTGTGATCGTAGTTTGCGCCACCTGCCTGACCTTCGGTCTGGCTCTCACCCGTCCTCCCGCAAGTTTGCTGAGCAGCAGCTGCATCTTCGGTCTGGCCTACGCTGGCTCGTGAATACTCAGCAGCCGGCCGACGAAAGTTACTCGGCGCCTGGCTCGAGGCTGCCGCTTGGCCGGGCAGTTGCGGCGGCCGATCTTCGCGAACTCTCTGCCGTTGGGCGCTCGCGGCAGCAGCCGCCGCCGGGCATGGCACAGCTGCCAGCCCGTTGTCAATGGCCCAGCAGCGCAGCCAGTTGCATTGCGTTTGCGCTTGCTGCACCAGCTCCACAAACTTCGGCTGGGTTGAGTTGAGCGGACTCGCGTAATGCAGTGGACCGCACGGTGGCCACAGCCTGCCTGCCTGGTCTGGGTGCACCATCTTGAAGGCTCTTTTCACACCCGCTGCGATCCCAGCTTCACTGGCATCGTGCGCTATGTTCATGCTGCAAAATGGGCATGCCATTGCTTGGAGCAGGTAAATGGTAGCCTGCTGCTTTGGCCAAAAAGCTTGCGGTCATGCACAACTACAGTTTCAACTGTTCGTGATGTCGGGCGCGAACCCAACTGTAACGCTACAGAATGCTATAGAAAAAAAAGATACCCCCCCCCCTCTTTATTTAAAGCATTCTGTAGCGTTACACCTGGCCAGTGGCATCCTGCAGCACACGGCTCACGTTTTACACGAGGCGGCAGCTCACAGTTTTGCTACAGCTTAGCTTGGCTTGGCTGAGCTTTGCGCAAGAATAAGGCAATGTGCTTGACACGCAGCCTCAGTTGTTGGTGGTGTCGTCCGCTTCTTCAGCTGCGTTCTGATAGTCTTCGACATCAGAGGCAACTTGAGCTTCTTCGGCGGCTGGCTGCGCCTCGTCCGCAGTGGAATGTTGCCCTCCTGCAGCTGGGCTTCGCCCTGCCGCCTCGGCAGTCGAGCTTAGCCCTGCCGTCGCGGAGCTTGCCTGTCCTGGCTCAGCAGCTGGCTGCGCATCCACCGGAGCGTCGTCTTGCCCCGCCGCGGTCGTGGATGGCTGCTGCCGCGACATCAGCCACTCGAGATCGGCGGCACTCAAGCGCCCCGCAGCCCTGATGAGACGACGTCTCTTCCTTGGCAGGCTTTTCACAATGCTAACAATGAATACTCAACAAAGCAATCAGACAAGACGCCGCATTTCCAACTTCAGCAACTTGGACTGCTCACGAAGCTGTCGCTTCAGATCCGTGCGACGACACTTCATCTCCTCCACATTCATTGCAGCGGGCGAGGCTCAGGCTAAAATGCGACTGAAATGGCTGTCCGACCGCTTGCTGTTGCTAACCGTGCCTGCACCTAGTGCTTAACGCTACCGGCAGCCTAAAACAAAGCCTTGCCTGAACAGTCACTCCGAACAAAATCCTTTTCGCGCCATAGCCTGCTTTGCCACGTCCTGCCTTGGGCAGACGCTTGACGCGCAACAGCGTGACTGGGATTCGCGCTATCCACTGGCGGACGCACACTGCACGCACTCCGCCCAAGCCAGTGAAACTCACAGTGAGACTGGGCGACCAGGACCCGCCTTTGGCGGACGCCGTCGGCCCTTGCTCTGCAACACTGTTTTAGGGGATGAATTGCGACCCCCGCAGACACGTCTCTGGTATGTTCATTCACAGTAGGCACGTCCTCTTCGGTTTGTTCTTGCTGCCAGGAGGCCTCCCCCTCCGTTTCGGCTCTGGTGCCTCCGGCGTAGTGTCCTGCGCAGCGCGCTGTGCCTCCTGCACAGCGTGTGGTGCCTCCTGTGCAGCGTGTGGTGCCTCCGCAGCGCGCGCCTCTGGCGCCTCTTGTTCGATCGGCTCCATCCTTTTTATTTATACGTGGTCAAGATATAACACGAACGACAAAGACGACCCGCGAAGCCGGACGACATTGCCGTCCAGGTCGGTCAGCCGGAAGCGCATGTGCCTCAAGGTGACGGGGCCCCTGAGGGCCATGAAGTGCCCGTCGTCTGAGCCCGTCTCCACAATGGTGCCCACGCCACTCTTCAGCGTGATCTTGGAGAGGATGTCGTCGCCCAAATTGCCCAGCACTCTGCTGGCTCAAAGACCTGCTGCCCGCCGGAGACGAAGCTCGGGGCCCAGCATGTGGTCCACGCTGAAGGGCTTCGTCGGAGAGGCGGGCGGCGCGGCGGGGTAGTCCGCTGCATCTGCGCAGCTCCAGGTCGTTCAGGATCAGCCGGTTACCGTCGTAGGCAACGCTCAGGCTGTTGTGGTCTCGCTATAAGTGGCGGTGGCAAAGTTGGAGCTGACCAGGCGGCCAGCCGGGCGCCCGTGTACGCGCCCTCGGGCAACAATGCCCAGTTCAGCGTGCCCAGCGCGGCGTCAACCCAGTAGAGGTAGCGGCCCCGGTCCGTGGACAGGAAACTGTCGGCCAGGCGGATTTTGTAGACGGCGAGCCGGGCGTCGCTCTGCAGGTGCAGCGACTCTCCCAGGTCGACCTCAAAGTCACTGTCCGAGCCGGCCACCCTCTTGCGGCTGTCCACGTAGATCGTTGTCATCCTTTTCTTTAGGAAACCACCCGTCCGGCGGACGACGGGCGGCTGGACGGCTGAGACGGAAGTGCAGCAGGAGATGTTCTCACACTTCGCGTTGATCAGCGTGGAGCTGGCGAACAGCTTCTGGCCCGGGAAGCTGAGCGCCGCTCCCATCGGCGTCTTTTTCAAGCGCGAAACGCTCTTCGAAGCGCTTGTAGAACATTTCGTTCTTCGGCTTCAGGTAGTACACAAAGAGGAAGCTGTAAGGTTCTCGGGTCGCCTGCTCATACAGCCGGTACAGCTGCTCCTTCGGCAGCAGGGCGCTCAGCTCCTCGATGACGGCGTCCAGCTCGTGCTGGTTGTGACGGCCTCGGATGAAGAGCGTGTCAAGGGCGCCGTGCGGCTTGTGGAGTTGCGGCGTGTCAGCAAAGTCGTCGATGACTACAAGCGCCTGGTACAGTTTCTTCATTTCCAACTTCTTGGACGCTTCCGTGATCTTGCGCTGCTGCTGGATGATGCGCCGCAAGGCGGACTCATCCCACTCGTCCCAGTAAGCCTGCTCACGCTCCGGGTTCACCCCCAGGTCCTGCTCGATGTACTTCTTGACGGGGATCCAGCCATCATCGATGTTGACGCTTGGGCTGAAAACGTAGATCCGCTCAAACACGCCCTTGTACTGCTCCAGGATGAGAATGATGAGCGCCACAGTTTTGCCCGACTTGCTGGGCCCAAGGAAGATGCCCGTGCATGGCACCAGGGGCACCACGGGGTCCGAGGCTTGCTTGCTGGTGTACTCAGGCGTGGGGAAAAGCTTGATCTTCCCCATTCGTCCTTTTGCGTTACGCAAGTTCCGGAAGCCGGCCAGCGAGTCCTGAAAGTAAAGGCCGGCTGAAGTATACGCGCTGGCCTATCTGCGGCTGCCCTAACCCAGCACAGCAATGCAATCCTGTTGCCGGAGGATTGACGGAGACGCAACCCAAGGCTCACATGCAGCAAATGAGGCCAAGAGAATTCCACCCTTCTGCTCTGAGTTACCGTTGCGCTTAGAAAGCACTTATCAGGCTTTTCGAGCCACAAAGCTCCGCAACAGAAACGCACTTACACGGCCAGAAACAGCGCTTTAAGCCCGGGCAACTTAAACTTCCGAGACGCACAGAATGCGACTAGGACCCGTTTTGCCTGCATATTGAAGCAGGCGGAAAACCCTTGCAGAAGTGCAAGCAGAAGGGCTGTGGCCGCACCGCGCAAAACCACCAAATTTTCGCAGAATCCACATTTGCTGAATGATAACCTCTGAGGATGCGCTGTGAGCGGTTTTAGATTTCACAAATAACAGAGAGAGGTTGGCTCGCTTAAAATGCAACCTGGATGCAAGCATATCTAGGGTCATTATTTTTTAGCCAGCGCGCAGC